GAGAGGGTTAGCGGTCCGCGAATGGCGCGACCTTTATTTTCTGGATCGTGGTACATGTGAAAGGCCGAATATAGTTCGTTTCCCAGGAAAGTGTTTGGCGGGCACTGATCTATGCACATACATACATATGTACTTTGGTATGTATATCAGCATTTTAGTTGAAAGTATAGTTCTGAACACATTGAAAACGACGAGCTACCGACCACAGCTTCCAATTGTCATCTTTATTATCTAAGCGCTTTGTCGATGGCGACATGATTTCTTTGAACACGGCAGCGACATCATGAATTTGTATGAGTTTGACATAAAAGAACAGGAAGAACCTTATCTGTCGCCAGAAAAATAGAAATAGATCTAATCTGGCCACAACCACAGCCGTCGCGTAGCCCGGTCGTCGCCAAAATAATTATCTACATAAGAGTACGTGTTAAAATAATTTGACAGCTGTGGTTTATAGCTCGTCGTTTTCATTGTGTTCGGGCTATATGTTTTGCTCGTCGCTCTCTTCATCGCTCCACTACATTCCTGTCCTTAGTTTTATTCAGATACCACAAATGTATGTTTTCTTTGAAAATACTCAAGTGCCAGCACGGTTGCCGTTTTGGCCAAAATGTACAATTTTTGGTACAGAGGTACGTAACTTTCAGAATTGGTACATTTTTTAATCTGGAAAATTGAGAAAATTATTACTTACATCATATATGTATGTACCTATCTTAAGGCCAACCCTTTATATGAAGTCCAACGTATATATCAATCAGGGAAATCTGCTATTTCAGTAACACATTGTGGTTGCTCGAGCTTGCCTGGTTTTCCTGAATCTCATGCTTGCATTAGGAATACCTCCTTGTCATGGCCTTAGATTTTGCTTGAATGTGGATGAACCCATAAAAGGCTATCAGCTTGCACTCTAATCTTCAGATACCATACTAATTGGCAATGAGGCTTGTTGAAGCGATTTGTGTCTCATCAACTTGGTGACTCTTGATAGTTTTAACACAAATCTGTGAGGATCCTTCTTTAAACTCACAGATAAAATGACACCGAAATTATCCTTCCAGTAGCCCTACAAGGTAATAATTTCTAAAGGGTAACTCATTTTCGTTAGCGGTGTTTCTTTCAGGGTAGGAATACGACAACCGATTTGTCTCCAACCCAAATTTGACATGGGGTTACGGAAAATCATTCCACGTATGTTCCAGCATTATAAACAGGTTCACAGAGCACTCAGAAATTGCTTTATACATATATGTATAAGCAAGGTGTATTTTTAAAATATCTGAATAATTAAATATATAGCTTAAACCTATTTAGGTACATTTTTTGCATTTTGGTACAAGTTTTGGTACAAAAAAAAAATGAGTAAGTGGCAACCGTGACTACCAGTAGAGTACTCTACTCTCAAATACCTTTTACTCGCAGTAGTTGCGGAAGGCAAAGTAAATACTCTACGCGTCTTGCTATTGATCGGTAGTTTACGTACGCTTACAGAAACTGGTTTATGCTTACTCACACGTGACCCGAACGATGAGAGTAAAGGAGGGAAAGTATTTGCGCGGCGATCGGATATCTTGTTAGGCCATTTAAATGGAATTGCGCAGGAGCTTAATATATATATATATATATAACGTAGTGAAAAAGAAGGAAAATCTGATTGCAAAAACACTCAGCCTTGACAATGTTATGAGCAGCGTTGCCGTTTTGGTCCAATTGGACCAAAATTGGTAGCTTCATTCTCCGTTGGTAGCTTGGTTGGTTTGATGAAGCTTTTGGTAGGCAAAAATGTTTTGAAAATACAACCAAATTGAACATTAAAACTTGTTTGCTTAATTTAAGTTTACACGTTTAAAACACTGCTTTCACCTTGCTTACGCGTATAAGATTTCTTTATTTTTTTGTATATTTTTTTAAGCAGACAATTTTCTGCAAACAAAAACTCACTTCCCAAAGCTATGACCGATTAGCTGTTGAAATTAACGAGAAATTACCTATCGTCTTGAAAGAAAAATTGGTGATAGGCAATTTGCAAAGTGTGAGTGTATTGGTAAAAAAGGGTGAGTGCATGAAAATTTAATCAAATTTGGAAATATTTTTATTGAAATGCGTAAAATGTCTGCTTTTGTTTTTTCACAAAAAAAAAATTTTTGATATGAAATGAATCAATCTCAAAGATATTAACATATTTTACAATAACTTAATTATTTTATTTAAAGGCCCGAATTTATTGTGTTTAATCTTAAAGATTGGGGTGAATAATTAACCAGTACCGTAAACAATATTATGTGTAGTTTTATTTTTTACTGCTAATTTGTGTAGCTAAAAACCCCGCAAACTCGAGAAATCTCGTTTTAATGATGAAAAAAATTTGGTAGTTTGGAAACTGATTTGGTAAGCGTTTTGGTACCTAAAAATATTTTCAAGTGGCAACGCTGGTTATGAGCACGATCATTCGTATTGTCAATTTGATTTGCGGATGACCGTTAAAGCATCGGCAATTCAAAAGGGCTAACTTTAATATGAATAAGCAAGCGTATGCAAACGTGCGAAAACACATAAATCCTATTATGAAACTATAATGTGCTTAACATCAAGTTTCGCCCAACGTCATTTGCTTAAGGAAAGAGCGATACTGATCGCACCTTCCGTATGGAATCAGCTGTTTGTCCTCGTAGTATGTATGTAGGTACATATGTAACACATGCAGTGTTGCCGCATTGACATTTTTTTTTTACCGAAATTGGTAATTTTTTTCTTTATTTATCATATTTGGTAATTTGGTAACTTATTTTTTAATTTGGTAACTTTTTCGATTCAGTCCTACATGTAACACAGGTCAAAAGAAGTTCTGGTTCCACATTAGGAAGTGGGCCGTAAGCGTTTCCTTTTACAGAAACACCAGGTTATCCTGAAAGCTTCGCAAGGCGAACAGTTCTTCGGCGTTTCTTGGTTACTATAATTGTGTGATCTACAACAAACTGCTTGATAGTGGCTATTGTTATATCTAATGAAATGTGGCAACACTGAACTCATGTAAGTAAAATATAGCACCTAAAGGTCTACACTACGTTGTTTATGCATTTGACAGACTTTTCGTTCATTTTCTGACAGTCAGTTACGGCAGCTTATTCATATTATAGTTAGCCCTAAAGCCTTGCTCGATGAATTTGAGAGTGAATGAGTGAATTCGGTCACATATTCTACCACTCTGAAGTAAGATGGCTGAGTCAAGGTAAAGTGCTCTCAATATTTGTAGCTTTAATGACAGAAATATAGATTTTCCTGAAATCCAAAGGCACCATTTTTAACTGATGTGACTGCAAAACTAAATCATTTCCATACAACTTTGCAATCTCGAAATCGATGTATGGACAGAGCAGTTGACAAAGAAAAACTTTCAACATTTCCAGACGTTTACTCTTCTGGACCAGGCTTTTTCATACCTAATGGTTATAAAAAACAAATACCGAAACGTATTGACTGACGAACATGTCAAAAATACCAGAAGTTATCTGAAAATATGAAGATTCAAGCATCATATTAAGTTTATTGGGCATGTGCTGCGAGTCGTACGAATTGAAATCGGTGCGATGTGCAAACTATTTTTGATTATTTTTAGGGAAAATAATAAATATTTCAAATGAAAACGGCGAGAAACACATAACTTACGTCATATCTATCGATTCATTGCCAAGTTTTGCCGTTTTGTTAATCAATCTCCGAAAAAGGTTTTGCAGATCGCATCGATATCAAATCGTACGAATTGCAGCATATTCCCATATGTTTACGATAAAATGAATGTTCTTCATTAAAATATTATGCACTGTTATTCATTTAACTTAACTGTATAAACTTTAATAATAAATAAATATTTTAAAAGGATCAGTTAGTAGAATATATACATTGAATATAAGAAAAGTGAAACGAGTTAACGCAGTTAAGATTGAAGTTAAGCTAGGGGTGCCCGCATATTATAGCGATAGTTTCCAAGTAGCCCTTTGTCCAAGTTCCGTTGGACACCACTGTTCTAGACACTGGACTCTATGGCCGCATAAAGGCTGGTTTTCATTATGTCATATTTTGACAACAAACTTTGTCGACATATTTTGACACAACTTTCTTTCCTTAATCCCTACCTTTACGATGGTATTATGGGCCAAAAACTTAAAAAGATTCACTTTAGCAGTTCATGTACACGCCTGAAGGCCTATTCTGATCTAAGTCAATCAAAAGACCATTTTTTAGTCCCATTTGACAATTTGTTTTCACTCATTTGACCGCAAAAGCCATTGAATTTGAATTAGAGGAGATAAGCGTTAAAATTTATAAAAAAAATAAGAATTTGAGGATAGCTAAGTAAAGTGTTAATTTTTCGTATTGGCTGCTCTAAATGCAAAATGTTTAGGAGAATACATAATATGATTTTTTTAATTTCTTCCTTTTCACCACTTTTCTTAAGAATTGTTTATTCTTCAAAATCAAAGCGAAGCTTCTCCCGTGCCTACAAGCAAATATATTCGCACGGTAAAGGAAAAAGAAAAAAAAAATAAAAATTCATCTGATCAAAAGATGATTGTACCTAAAATCTAGTAAAAGTACCTAATGTACCTTTAAGTCATCAAACGTCGGAAAAAGGTACAATTGTACCTACTTTTTCATCCCTGGAATGTGATACTTTTTTTTTATTTGCATAGAACAATGTGGAGAGATATAATTTGGTGGAATGCATCATAATCACTCAATAAGTAAATTGGTTGTACGAGTTATCGTATGAGCCCGAACTGTTCTATGACTTATTTTGGACTTTCGAGCTTAAACGGTATCGAAATTCCACTGATGGTATTGATGTTAAAAATTGAGAATTCAGTACATACCAGCTTTACTCGAGGCTTCTTTGTCTCCTTGTGATGTGAGACGGTCTGTCAAAAGAGCATGTATGACTCCATATGTATTAATTATTCCAAAAATGACGCCATTGCATATAAATGCACTAATCATGACCAGCCAAGCTCGCATTCCTCCGTCTGGTGGTTCATTTTGATCATGAATATCGCGACAACATGGCGTTTCAATGTGTTCTTTCGAGAAAATTTGCTTGGTAACCGATCCATTGATGTTATCAGTTTTGATGCTTCGTGTTGCATTAGGTTTTTGAACGATATGCTCATTTGGCTTGTATGATTTACTAAGAGGCTCACTTTCTGTCATAATTTGAGATCAGTGTTTTCAGCCCCCGTAGATGATGTTAAAACCGAAGTATGAAATAGAGTTGTCAATATTATCACTTCCTGAAATGAAAAATTAAATAAACAGATTTTATAATAATCCGATTTCTGGTCTAGGCTTTGGAAGACATTGATGGAGTGGATGCACACATTTTAATACAAAGCGGGCGGCACCACACACAATTTCCTAAATCTTTCGAGCCCCCAACTTATGCCAAACAATTTATTTAAATAGTTACTGAATTATTGCAATTTTTGAATTTTTACTTTATACTGGCGGGACTATTTTCCGATTCCGCCCATTTTCGTGAGGGACCATAACTGCTATGATTTTTTTTCAAATGGATTGATAATCGTTATTTTCTCATCGATATGTTTTTGAATAAAAATGAAGAGTTTAAATTTGACATAAATTTCTTCGATCACAAATAAAAGCTAATTTTTGACTTATTTTTTCGTCAAAAAATTAGTTAATTTTATTTTTTCAATCACAAATAATCACCCTCGTTCGGCATGCTGCAACCAGCGTTACCGTTTCGGGCTTTTCCTATCAAAATTGGTAGGTTTTTTCTCTTTGGTAGGATGGTAGGACGCTTAAAATTTTGGTAGGTTTCTTTGCTCATAAAACAGAAAATATCTGGGTCATTCCACTGAAAAGAGGAAATCGACATACATTTAAATATGCCCTAATTATCTCTATTTCAGTAGTAACCTCTTTTAAAATAACTAAATTCCAATCATCTGTTGGAAAATATTAAAAAATCAAAAGAAGTTGTAATTTTCGTCTATGGAAACTTTTATTTCATGCATAATAACTTTATACCAGTCATAAAGAGATGTCCCACCAGTCACAACTTAAATATTTTTTAATATTTCTATGAAGATTAAATAAACCTCGTTTTTATTGGAAATTAAAGCGTATAATTCATATTTTACAACACAAAAACATCGTTCGTGAAGATTATGTGTTTTGGCTAAAATTCATCTTTGAGTGCACAAGGGTAAAATAAGGTTATTTTCAGTGTCCCACCAGTCACATCCATTCAAATGATAGTTACATAAAACTAAGAAATCGTTTGGTATTTTTGCATCTTTCGCTGTTGTATAAGTTCCGACGACATAGCTAAAATTCACAATTGATCACAATATCAGTTTTACCTCATTCTGTTTCTTAGATGGGTCCCACTGTTTGCCAAGTACCTTAAAAAACCCGTTTCTTACTGGAATAGATAGAATTTCACCAATTACCTTCGGCGATTCTCTGAACTCCGTATACGCTACAAAAACTTGTATCCGCTGGATATCTAAAGGGATATCAAGTGATTGCTTTGATGGACGTAAGAGCAGGTTTATAAATCAGGTATTTTTCTTTGAAATGCTGTGGCTAATCGAAAATAGATTCAACAGTGACAAGGTTGTTATTTACCGTTTTCTTGCAATATACTCTTAAAGTCGTCATATTTTCCTTTGAGTGTGCGCAAAGTGAAAAACGTGATTTAATATTTCAAATTTCCAAGCTATACCTGAGTTTTCTTTAAAGATATATCAAAAACGGCAATGGAACCTTCTTGTTCAGATATTTAGGTAATACAAGGTGATTTTAGTTTGCTATGATTCTAAGTATTTTATTTTATTTTTTATCGTAGGCGTAAAAATAAGGGGTTTTTGGCTATATGCCTAGACATATAGTTAAGAAATAGGTGCGATCAAGCAAAAGTGTAATCATTTTCTTTATACCTTGGACGTTATAGTGTCATTCTGTAAAAAAAAGTTGCGGCATGTCTGCGCACTTTTTCAGTATATCGATTTATTTAATTTTATGTACATCATAATTTAAACTGAAAACTAAGTAAAAAACATACAAGAAAGTAATATTGCTATTGTCCACGTTTGTTATTTGCTCAATTACTGTTTTTTTTTACCCTACATACGTACGGTGACCATCCGTTCTGTTTTTTGCAGGACCGTACTGTTATTTAAAGGTCTGTCCTGCGTAGTTTTTCAAAACAGAAAACCCCAAAATGTACTGATTTTTTCCAAGTGTCCTGCCTTTGTCCCGCATTTTCTTCGATATTTTAAAATTAACTTTTCCTAATCGAAATAAAAGCAGTGTCGATAACTAATTGATAACTATGTACATAAGGGTAAGCTGGTTTTGAAGGTTCAATGCGTCAATGCGTTCTAAATATTGTACGGTTATGGACAAGAGATGACGAGAGATTGAAGACCACCATCAAATATATCGATAACACTGTTCTACAAATTTTGTGGTAATCGCTTAAGAAAAAAAATATTTTCCAAGCCAATTTTCTTTTCAAACAAGCGTTTTCGTAATTTTTTCGAAAAACGTGTTTTTGGTACATTTCGGACCTATTCGTCAATATCTCATGAAAAAATTATCCGATCAACATAAGCGACCTACAGTCCTCTTACAAAAATATATTACTTTGCCAATTTCGAAGAAAATTATTAGTGTTACAAGCGACCAAAATCGAAAAATTGAAATTACAATGAGAAATTTAGATGTTACGGAACACAATCTGCACAAAAAATATATATTATTGCAAAGAGCCCATTAATACCTTTCGAACTGTTGGTCGTTTCATGAAATATTGAGGAATAATTGAAAAAGTCCAAAAAATACGTTTTCGAACAAATCTCGAAAACACTTCTTTGAAACCATGGGTATTTTTTCGTGTTCAACGACCCAAAGTTTGCCTAAAAAATTTGCTTTACAGAGGTTCATATTTCGTGTAAAGTAATACGTAATATGCCTTATTATGATTTTGTAAATATTCATTACTAAAGGATTAATACCAATGAAGCAAATGTGATTTATGTTAAAAGTTTAAAATTGGATTAATAATTAAGAAATATACACTCTTGGTTATTTGAATAGCGCATCCTTTAATGGGCCGTACGAATAAAAACTAAGCGATTGCCTTTTCTTAAAATTGTATACCTTTTACTCCAATTTTGTTTGAATAAATTGAGTAAAAGGTCTGAAATTTCAAGAAAAAGCAATTGCTTATTTTTATTCATACAGCCCAATACTTAGTAGGTACAGTTTTCCTTTTGTTTGTTTAATATTCATTAACTTTTTATAAAAATATAGCATATTCTACGTCTACATCCCATTTAAAAAATTTTTGAAAATTAAAAAAAAAATAAACAGGGGCGACAATTTTTTTTTGTTGACGGTGCTGCGCAGTTTTGTCAAGCATACTTTGTATGGTAGAAAATCAAAAAAAGGGTGCGCTATTCAAATGACGAAGAATGTATATATGTAGTATATTTTTGTTATTTTTATACTACGCAATTATATGTAGGTTAATTTTTTGAAAAATTGTCCTGCATTTTCGAAATATATTTATGGTCACCGTATACATACGCCATAACTATTAGGTATATTATTAAAAGTAAGCTAAATACTGTTTTGTATCAAAGGCGAAACTTTTAGTACTTGCCTGTATCAAAGAAATTATATATACATTTATATACATATTTGCTCAGACTTCTAAAATAAAATTAGGGTTTATTAAATTTTACAATAATAGCTTAGAATGACGTAATTTACTTGTCCAATGATTTATAGGGTATATTTGAAACCGTAAAGAATGGTACATATTGCAAATTTTTAGTTTTAATTATAATCTTTGTTATTGTTTATAGTGTTGCTATTTTTATGCATGAATGTCATGTGCAGTGAATAGAAATAATGATAGTGATGACATTTTTAACTAATATGGCGTGTAAACGGAGAATAACCATAACTTTAAAGGCCTAATTTTATTATTAATTTCTTTATAGGAACGAACTCAAATATTATTTGGGTTACTCGTCAAAGCCTTTATGAAATAATGAAAAACTCCTGCTGCGATCAATTCAATGATAAATTTAACGTTTTAACGGGACAAATGAAAGATCGCATCATGCCATCTGATGAAAATGTAAAAGAATTTAATAAAAATATAAGATATGAGAAATGAACGGCTGCTGCTGCGGTAGCAGTGCCGGTAAATGAGCAGGGGGCTAATGCTTGGTTGCTTACTAAAATTGTGGTGGTGGTTGCGCAGATTCCGGAAGATGTGATATGGCAGGTTGTAGAAATTAAGGTTGCAAAATTCATGTGGAGCGATTGATTAACTGGACAAGTGACTTATAATTATTTGGGCTAAATTCTTATTTGTTATGTTTGCTGGGTTGGAGCTGCCTCGGCCGATAGAGTTAAAAAAGCGAAAAATTTAAATTTTCCTTTTACCGCTCTCCTGTCTTCATCAGGGAGTCTTTTTTCGAAAAATAAAAACAAATAAACAATAAACATGATTAGCAAGTAAAATTCGTTGAAGCGAAAACAATAAACATAGTTAACGACAATTAATTTACACTAATTCTGACTTTGAACTCACATTTACATAAATATTATTGACAAAAATTTTTAATCAAACGATAAACGTTAGCACCATTTTAAGTATCTTTCCACAATATTACCAAATTCCAATCCTATATTCTTATTTATTTTTGCTATTGATTACAGCTGCATACACGTTGTTGGTGTTATCCACGTCATCTTTAAAGTTGATCGCATTGTCTAGTTGTTGTTGTATACGAAGGCTTTCTAATGTCATTCTCCTTTTTACCCCTCTTTCGATGTCCAAAATTCTTGTATTCCCGAAGTCCGCAAAGTGTTCGTGCTTCGTCAAGTGTTGTTCAAGGGCTGTTGTCATCTTTTTGTTTCTCTCATCCGCTTTATGTTCGCTAATCAGTGTTGCCAACTTTTGATTTTCAAAAAGCACCAAAAACTTGGAAAAAAGCGTTTTACCACAATAAAAGCACCAAATGGTTTTGAATCAATTGATGCTTTTTTCATAACAGATTGTATGTATTTAACAAAAACAAAAAATTTACAATATATACAAGAATGCATACATAAATCAATAAACAAAACTTTTTCGCTCATAACGATTGAAAAGCCACATGCTATAATGACTCATGCTTACGACGTAATACCGATGTACTGCATATTAAAACTGATATATCTCAAGAAAGAAAAATCGAATCCC